CGAAGCCGGGTAAAGACCCGAAATTAATAATTAGTTACAGGCCGATTAGTCTGCTTTCCTGCTTATAAAACTTAATATTTGGGAAAGGTCTTTGAAAGAGTTCTAAAAATCAGACTTACCAATCACCTTGAGAGACTTGACCTCATCGACAGTTCGCAATTTGGATTTCGAAGCGGTCATTCCACTACGGATCAAATTTTAAATCTGGTTGAATATATTGCAGGCAACTTTCAAAAAAAAGAAGGCAGTCGCTGCGTGCTTCCTCGATTTCGAAAAGGCATTCAATCGAGTGTGGAACGGAGGATTTATCCATAAGCTCAGCAATTTCCTGCTCCCGGTCAGCTTTATTCAACTTAGGATCTCATATCTTTACCGTAGAACATTCCAAGTAAAGTGTAGAAATGCAATTTCCATGAAAAAGATAATTTACAGTGGTGTCCCGCAAAAAGCAGTCCTCGTTCCCTGTCTTTTCAATATATTTATAAATGACCTCCCAAATCCCTTGAATTCCAAGATTCTAAAATCCGCCGACGACACAGTCGTACTTACGGATTCTGTCAGCCCGCCTCTTGCAATGGAAAAACTGCAATTCAAAGATTTCGAAGCGGTCATTCCACTACGCATCAAATTTTAAATCTGGTTGAATATATTGCAGGCAACTTTCAAAAAAAGAAGGCAGTCGCTGCGTGCTTCCTCGATTTGATTTCGAAAAGGCATTCGATCGAGTGTGGCACGTAGGACTTATCCATAAGCTCAGCCATTTCCTGCTCCCGGTCAGCTTTATTCAACTTATGATCTTGTATCTTTACCGTAGAACATTCCAAGTAAAGTGTGGAAATGCAATTTTTATGAAAAAGATAATTTACAGTGGTGTCCTGCAAGGAGCAGTCCTCGCTCCCTGTCTTTTCAATATATTTATAAATGACCTCCCAAATCCCTTGGATTCCAAGATTCTAAAATATGCCGACGACACGGTCGTACTTACGGAATTCTGTCAGCCCGCCTCTTTGCAATGGAAAAACTGCAATTCAAAGTAAATATCGTTACGAAATGGTGCGAGGATTGGAAAATTCAATTTAAATTCTAGTAAATGCTGTGTTGTGCTTTACAGACGCTACAGGCAGAATGTAATTGTTAATACGGATATCAAAATTAAAAACGATACAGTTCCGATGGCTGACTCCTATAAGTATTTAGGAGTTATTATAGAGAGCAAGCTTACCTTTAAATACCATGTTACAGCCGTAGCGGAAAAAGCGAATGCTGCGTTCTGTGCCCTTTACAGCTTGATTGGCAGGAAGTCTAACTTATCGATAAAAATCAAAAGAACACTGTATCTGTCCTTAATCAGACCGATTATGTTATACGCAGTGCCAGCATGGGCGACAGACAACAAGACTGAGCGTGCTAAACTAGACATAATACAAAATAAAATACTTAGAGCGATTGTGAACTCACCGTGGTTTGTGAGGAACTCTCAAATTCAGGAGGATCTGAATGTGAAGGCCATGCATGAACAAATTTTGATCACTTCACATAATTTCTTTGAAAGCCTTAGAACCTCTTCCCACGCTTCTATTAGAAGCCTGTGCGACTATGACCCTACTGTTGAATATGTGGTCAAAAGACCCCGCACCATATACATCAAACCCGTCTTGGTAGTTGTATTTATGTAAATAGTTTTCAGCTTTTTTCTATGTTTTATAATTACGACTTTTGTTATTTTTTGAATGCAACTTTTGCCACCACGACCAGGAATGCCAGTCCCAAGCTCTGAATGTTTTCACGCCTCCGGGTGACAGATGTACCTAAAGTACATCTCTTTTATTTTACTACTGTGATTGGCCTCTGGCAACTCTGAACCTTTGGTAATAACTCTGTGTAGTTGAAACCAAGTGCGAGCGAAAGCAATTGGAATTGGATATACGTCTTAAGTTGTCATGGAGGTCTCATCTGCGTTTTTTCCACAAAATCAGTCCATGTAATGTCGTCGCGAGCCATCTGTCAATCATGAAAGACGACATCCTACATAGGCCCATCGGTCCTGACGGCATGCGTTCTCGCGTACTGGAAGAGTGATTATCATCGGCTGCGGATCTGTAAAACAACAACCAAAAAAAAAAAAAAAAAAAAAAAGAGAGAGAGAGAGAGAAAATAAGAATTTTAAGTTTCATTGAGTTTTGAATTTCACTGAGGGAAAAATGAATGTCATTGTCCTGGGATCTCTTCTTTAATGTCGTCTGCATTAAGTCTGTCTTAAATCGTCTTCGTACAGGCGCCTTCTTAAACATCGTCTGGACGTTTCCAGAATGGAAATGGTCTTATTTGTCTTAATTTTTTTAGTGAATTAGTTCGTTTTTTTGTCCTCTCATTCTGGAAATAAAACCATCAACAATCAAGTGATCTACATCTCGGGATCATCTGGTGGCCATCAACATCTGGGAATGGAAATGGTTTTATTTGTTATGTCTTAATTGTTTACAGGATATTAATTTAGTGAATTAGTTCGTTCTTTCATCTTTGCATGCTGGATCCAAGGATATGAAAAAAAAAGTTTTTTTTTAAAATTTATATTGAATTTCGCTGAGTTTGCCTCAGTCGTCGTCGTCGTCATGGTCGTCTCAGTAAGTCACCGTTGGGAAACCTCTTGTTCAACGTCGTCTGCAACAATCCATTTAGATTCGTCTTTGTACATGCGTCTTCTTAAACGTCGTCTAGATAAGTCTCCTGAACGCGTCTTCTTAGATATCATCTGGATACGTCTTCTAAATGCGTCTCGTTTATCCTCAAGATCCATCATTTGAATGCGTCTTCTCAAAATCATCTTCTTAAAGCCGTCTTCCTTGATGCCTTTCATCCTTAGACATCATCTTCATTCTTCTTAAAATGGCTCTCCTCTTTAAAAAAATAGTCCTTTAGTCAAATTCGGAGAAATTTGTGAAGTCTAAATCAGGAATCTTCAAAATCGTAGTTGTATTATCAGAGAATTTTGGTTTCCTTACCGGATCTTTTGAATCGGCTTTTCCACTTTTTTTCCTCACCTTCTTTAGTTTCTCTTGTTCCGCTTTCGCTTTCCGTATCAGCGTCTTTGTTATCAGGTTTTTCTGACTTCTGCTTTGCAACTTTCTCTTAGTCTGTGATGTCTGTAGTTTCTTCATTTCCAGTGGTTTCTTTGTCTTGTGTGTTGTAAGCTGTGTTACTGAAGTTTTTCTAGTAGAATTAGCATTTAAAAACTCTGAGCTGAGACACTTCTTTGGGAAAATGCTTCTTTTCAGAATCTCCTTCTGCACTTGCGTTTCTCTTCGATGGCTTCGAATCTAAATGTATTATGTTTTCTTGAGCTTCGTTTTGGACTAATTCATGGTTTACAGGGTCACTTTCATTCACAAATTCGTTTTTTCTTATAATTTTCATCGTTATTCTTCCTAGGCTCATCGCGGCCTGATCTCCTATAATCTATGGGATCGGTACTTATTTACCTTGAAGTCTGTGAATTTACTTCAGAGATGGTTGTGTAAAATAACTTAATATTTAATGAGAACACAGACAGTTACTACACACTATGAAATTATTACATTCGTAGATGGGAATAGATGAGATTATTTACAGATGTAGAGAAGCTAACGTCTTTTACATGCAAACGTCTTTCATCTTAATGGAGGCATCATCTTAATGGCGGAATCGTCTGAATTCTTATCACCAGCTAAAAAAAAATATTTCACATAGCTGATCTGATTGTTATGGTCTGATTGTTATGAGCCATCTGATTATTATGGACGATGCCATTCTACATATATATAATACCCACTCACTTACTCGGTTTAAAATTCTTTACTTGCCTTTGTTTTCTTAATCATTGGTCGTAATCATATATGTCCAATTATAGAAGTGTTTTAAATGATGATTGGGAACGTTTTGCCTTTCATATGGCAAAAACTGACCGGGATACTTAATTTCAAAATTTCTAATTTTTGATATAATTTTCAACTTGCTTTGTGAAACTAGTTAATTGATCTCGAATAATTCGAGGAAATGAGTTTAAAGGAAGTGAAGCAAAAATATGTGTATAATTTAAAAGATAGCACAAATCATGTGGTATCCACTTCAGATTTTTTACATTGTTTTGTGTTTAACGTTCTTAGTAATTTGAACTGAGAACTACTCTGTCATACTGAGAATAGCTATACGAGTATTTCTGTGAAAAGTTTCAGTACTGTAATGTATTTCATTGGAAAAATAAGTTTTATTTAACTATCACCGGTTCTGAGTGCATTTAAAGTATTATGAACGCGTACGCACGTAGCAATATGAGCTCAAACTTTTAAAATTAACTGAAAAGCTAATTCATTAAAACTTATACCAGTCAATCCGGTGTCCAAAAGTTCTTAATTTCTTTTGAAACAGCAGTAAAATATTCATCTTTGTGAAGTCGGGGGCTTTTAAATTCGCTTAAATACGAATCACAGTGTTGTTCGCGCAGTTATCCCGTGTTATTTATTACGTCATTTTGCCAAAATCCAGAGTCTTTCAATGTTTTGAGCATGAGCACCAATACGATGATCTGAAAAAATTTGTCGATGATGAACTTTAAAATATTCAAATCCTGCAGCTCGTAATTCATTAATTTTGTAGGAAAATTAGTTAATTAAAAGAATGTAAAACAATTTTAGTTAAAAAATGAAGCGACTCGATTACTTCCACGTTGGCATATGATGAAAAATTATCAGAGTAATATAGTACCAAAGCAAAGAATTTATAAGTGAGTTAGGAATCAAGCTTATACAGTATTGGTGCTAAATCGCACTGTTTGGCGACAGTTTTTATTTGTCGAAATAGTAGACGATGTAAGTACTAATAAAATAAATGCTTATAAGGTAATTTAATGGTACACATTTCGTAGGTTTAAGAATATAAAGCTGAATATCTTTGGTATGTATCAACATTTACTGGCATGTTGTTAAAAAGTTGTTAGTTGAATGTGCATAAAAGGGTTCATTTAGATTTCGGAATGGAATTTGTGTGGTCTACCGAGTGATGAATTGTCGGCACAGAATGGAATTTTAGTAACTAATGCACTCCGCTACCCTCTACTCATCGATCCACAAAGTCAAGGAAAATCCTGGCTGAAAAATTCAGAATCCAGAAATGATCTACAGGTACGTAACTTTGTATAGATATACATTAACATCCAAATTAAAAAAAATTAGTGCATCATAATAACATAGGCCATTAGACTACGATATTTTATCTTGCTTCTTTCGTTTTAATTCTCTTAGGTCACATCTCTAAATCATAAATATTTTAGACAGCTGTTGGAAGAATGTTTGTCATTGGGTAAGCCTTTGCTTATTGAAGATGTTGGTGAAGAATTAGATCCAGTTCTAGAAAATGTCCTTGAAAAGAATTACATTAAAAGTGGTTCTACATTTAAGGTAACACTTATATTTATCATTTTATAAGAATAAATTGGAATAAAGGCGTGGGAACATCTTATATTTGAACCATATTTCCGAATGAAGTATAAATAAAAGCCTTTTAAGATTATAAGAATTAACTGCAGTTTAAAAAACCTACATATATAGGAGCTCATAATTTTGCAAGTTTATCAAAAAGATCTCTAACTTTTCAAAATTTAACCCAAAATTGTAGATAGTATGCGGTGATTCTAAAATGCTTTTACCAACGATTTATTTGTAAACGGAAAAAATCATTTTAATAGGAATGCTTTTGTACTGACAAAATTGTTTATGCTTCTCAAGAACTTTTATTATTGCCTAAATCATTACACTAAGTCTTTTTAAAAGAAAAGTTATGATTTACTTCCAGAAAAATTATTGACAAGCAAATTAATATTATTTTGATTCATATAGTCTTGATGATGGATATTTAGAAACTGTAAGCTTAACAAGAAAATATCGAAAACGTTTGAAGAGCCTAACGCAAAAACTAAACAGAAAATTGCTTCCTTTTGCTTGAGGTTGTTTTGTGAATTCGTTGGATGAATACAGCAATGCACACAAGATCTACCTGTCAAAAGGAAGCGATGGGGAACGCTTTTTGATAGTAATGGACTGAAATTTTAAACTCTAAATTTTAAACTAAGATGGTCAATAAGTAATCCTTTAGAACAGTTACAAAAGAATCACAATCCATCATTAACAAGATTTCTTTATATAACACGTTCACTGCCGAGCGACATTTTCAAAAACGGTTCCACAACGCCAACAAATTTTAATTAATTAATTGGAAAAAATACAAAACATGTATTTATGGGAGAGCTATTGAATTTAGATAATTTTAATTGCCTTATTAATTATACGAGTTATATCGTAGTCGATTTTTGCTATAAAATGTTTTAAGACGGCGCCAACTACAAGTATATTCGTAGTTGGCAGTTGCTTAAAACAAATATTGATTATTTTTATAACAATCATTGTAACAAAGGTTATTATAAATTGTATGATTATTTTTACAGTTCCTATGTTATTTACTTTATAATTGCTTATATTAAGTAAAATAAATCCTTTGAATTGCTCCAAATTGTTGTGTTTTTTCCTAATCTCCAAAGGCAGATACCTTCAAAGAACATGAAAATATTACGAGTTTTGATGGTGTGTGGCGCAAGTAAAACAAAAATGTTCTACGAATTAACTCGTAGCTGGCGCATAAGCACAAAATTTGACCTGCGAGATAACTCGTGGTTGGCAGCGAACGTGTTAAGATGAAAGAGACATTACTCAGCTCGAGTAGAACAAAATAGGTTGAAAAAAGACAGTATGGAAAAATGGTAGAATGGCAAAAGAGCTGATTGGCTCACAGCCAGTTTCCTCTCGCCAATTTTATACCTTTTAGCGGACTTGTCCCGAGTTTTCAAATTTCATTATGCAAAAAATACAAAATTCTTCTAATACATTTTAAGAAAAATTGGCTCTTATCTATATTTTACATAGAGGAAAGTAACTTAAAAACACGCCTATGCATCCAGCCCATTCGCGGTTGTCTTAGTCCAGATCAGATTACCAGTGGTGAGCAGTTGTAACCATTCAGCTGCCGGAGTACCCATACTACTCGTTTATTCGGAAGGGAAAATTTAAAAGTTTAAAAATTTTAAATTTTAATAGAACGAGAATCCTTTTATTATCATGGGCTTTATTAAATGTAACTTATTTTTTCCTTTTCGTGCAATTTTAGGTAGTACTTGGTGAAAAAGAGTGTGATGTTGCTCCTGGATTTAAGTTATTCATGACTACCAAACTCTCTAATCCAGCTTTCTCGCCAGAAATCAGCGCCAAAACGTCAGTCATTGACTTCACTGTGACCGCAAAAGGACTGGAAGATCAGCTACTGGGAAGGGTTATGCTGTCGGAGAAGGCAGTAAGTTCTTGTTTTTATAATCAACTAATTCTTAATGAATAATTTAGCCTCGCAATATTTTTAACCATTAGTATTCACTCCTTTTTTCCTTCATTCATAAAGAAATTTTAAAAAATTGCATTCACCGTTTTAACTTTCTTTAGAGCAGTGGTCTGTAAAACCGAATTAAAAACAAATTTCGAAAGGAAGATCATAAAGCACTCCAACTAGTTGACTATTATGAATAGTAGTATAATGATTATTTTATTAACTAAAAAACGTAAAGGAAAAACATAAAGTTACATTTTGTTACATATTAGTTTTAAGACTTAGTGGTCATCATATATCAAAGAGAATGACGGCCGATGCTTTGCAAAAGAAAAGTTTTCTAATAGAAAATGAATCGAATTTAGACGCCAGAGTTAAAAAGTTTTAAATGGAACACATTTTTCTGTAAGAGAATATTTCCCGGAGGATAAAACTAAGTATGACTGGATAAAATATTCGTTCCTGTACTACGAAAATTCAGAAGGTTTGCCAATGAAGGAAAGGGATCAAATTATCGATTTACCCCAGATTTGAAGTTAAAAATATAAATTTCAGCCAGAGCATCTCCTACATTCTTGGTTGAATATACATGCAGGATAACTAGAAGTTTCCCACACAGCTAAAAGCATTTTAATACCATTCGAAACAACATATTTAAGTGAAAAATGATTCTCAACGTATGTAGCAATAAAAATAAAACAAAACATAAAAACAAATTAAATGCAAAATGTGAAATGTGATTGCTGATATTATCAATACAGCTAGATTTCAGCAACTTGTTTAAGAGAAGCACACCCCTATCACTAAATCTAATGTAAGAATAGGTGGCACCTGAAGCAAGAATGCTATTAATGAGTAAATTACATTAATTTTTTGTTAAAATTTTTTTCAACAAAAATACAATATTTTCCTCAATTGTCTTTACTAAAGTACATGTTCAGACATTTATCCCATTCTGGAACCAACCTAGAATAGTATCGACGCAAAAGTTTGAAGCTTGGCTTTCGATCGTTTTCTGAGCTGACCTCAATACCTAACCTTCCAACGCCTACTTTAGAGGCCCAAAGATGTGAAAGTAACAAGATGAAAAATCAGGGCGGGAATAATCACCTTCTTTGTTTCTTCACGTCCTTCCCTAAATATTCTTGGCCAACCTACCACTGTTGTTTGCAAGACACATACTTCGCCATACACATCCTGCATCAGACAAAAAACTGTAGCTGATCGACACCTTTGATTGACGGCTTGACTCTGTGATAGAGCACTGCAGTTTCGCGATCATCTGAGTAAGTATATTGTCATATTTAGAACAACTTTCTAAATATGTGTTATGTATTTGACCTTTTATGCTTTATATGACAAATTAAGGTAAGAGCAGATATTTACAGTTGCCTGAAATATAAATCCGTATATGATAAATCCGTATCGACATTTCTTCTATTCCTATAAGATCTCTACTAGTTTCCTAGATGGTTTTCAATTTTAAAGACACTTTTAGAGAAAATACAAGACAAGTAAGAAATGTAAGTCAAAGTTTACAAGCAATACGTAATAAAATAACTTTAAAATACTAATGCGATTCGAGAAATTTGATTCCAGGATCATATGATGTGGATCATATTTTTCTTTCTTTTTTTCTCTTTTTTTCCCTTTCCTTCCGCCCCCCTTAATATAACTTTGATTGTCATATACGTTATGTAATTGAATTTAACTAAATAATTTAGATCTATATGTTAAAGTTTACATTTTATTTATTTAGAATTTTATTGCAGTTTATTATAAATTTCATTAAGTGAAATGCCTAAAGTAACTTTCTTTTTGATGTTTTAATACACAATCACTTATGATACTATAATATTTTTCATTTGATACAATTATTATTGATGAATTGCATTGCCAGTAAGCTTGGAATATAACACCGATATTCTGTCTAGGAGCTGGAAAATGAGAGAGTTAAAGTGATGAGCGAAATTATTGAAAGTAAATGCAACATTAAACAACTGGAGGACAACTTATTAGACCATTTAACAAGTGCACAGGTATTCACGCTTTAGTTTTTATTTTCCATTATATCCAATGTATTAGTTAATAGGGTTACTGTTATCTGCCAGTTCTTAAATAAAATATTTTGTGCCAAAACAAAAATTATAATAAATTCTTATTTCAGGCTGAAAAACTTTTAGTGTGAATTAAGTATCTTACCATATTTTTTGTTGTTTTGTAAAATGTTTTCCAGATAATGCAGTTCATTAGCTTCCAATCTGAAACTACCATACGATCAGCATCTTTATTATAAATAATTTTGATAAGAAATGGCTCATCATTTCTTATCAAAGTTACTAAGCGGATTGTGAAAGACCACTAAATAATTTCAAATATGAAACGTTCGGCCTTCGAAAGTACGAACTCTTGCTAATCGATATCTTGGCATAGTGGTTTTATTTACACTGAAGTGACAAAAGTCATGGGATACCTCCTAATATTTTGTCGGTCCTCTTTTTACCCGGCGAACTGCAGCAACTCGACGTGGCATGGAGTCAACAAGTCGTTGGAAGTCCCCGCAGGAATATTGAGCCAGCGGTTCTACAGACGTCCATAATGTGAAGTGTTGACGGTTGAGGGTTTGGGCTCGAACTGACCTCTCGCTGATGTCCCATAAATTTATGGGATTCAGGTCGGGCGATCTGTTACCAGATCATTCGCTGGAATTGCCGAATTCTTTACCCATCGCGAACATTGTGTCCGGGACATGCGCTTGTCTCCATAAAAGCCCATCGTTATTTGCGACGTGAAGTCCATGAATGGCTGAAAGTGATCTCCAAGTAGCTGAAGTATCCATTCCAGTCAGGATGGTTCATTTTCACCAGAGGACCGATCCAGCCATGCAAAAACAGCACAGACCATATGGAACCACCACCAGCTTGACGTGCTGTTTACAACTTGGGTCATGGCTTCGTGGGGTCGCGCCACCCGACCCTACATCAGCTCTACCACTGAATCGGATCACTGACCAACCACGTTTTCCTTCGTTTAGGACCAACGATATGCTACGATACCACGAGTCGCTGCGGACGAGTCCGTGTCAGTAAAGCCTCGAGTCGGTCTTCTGCTGCATAGCCCAAGGAAGACAATTTCCCGACTGTCTATCGGACACTTCCCGCGACGTCATGCTCTAGCCCAACTACCATCCCGTTCAAAGTCTGTTAATTCCGTCAGCGGCATAATCACTTCAAGCCTCTTCACATGATAACTTGACACAAATGAAGCCCGCACAGCACTCGCATTTATAATTTTTCTACGCGATACTACTGCCATCTGTATATTTTCATATTGCTATCCCATGACTTTTGTCACTTCAGTGTATTTTGATGACTGTTTGTAATGTAGATAAGTACGCTGCCGAATGCGTATACTCATGCATGAATGTCTTTTGAAAGAACTTTCGAAGATCATGCTATATAAAATTATGAAAAAGTGAAAATTTTATGTTATTTTCGAATAAAAGTTTCTTGTGAAGCCAATGTTCAGTAATTAGCTCGTAATAGTGAAAAAACGTTTGGCAAGAATTTTAGATAATAAATGTAAAATACGTCGCTGGTTTAATAAATTCAGGTCGAGCTAATTTAATATTGATAATTATCTATGCGGTCCTCTTGAATTTAAAGGGACGTTACATAAGAATGAAGATGATGACTATTTTTTTCCCGCGCACCTTTGAAACAGATCCTTAAGGTTAAAACTGTGGCTTCTTGAATGAAATAAACAAATACCAGAAGTTTCATCTCAAAATCTGTCTTTCTCTGTTGTAGCGATAAAAATACAAATCATTAATTAGTCTCATCATTATGTCAGCCGTAAAATGAATACTTTTCAACAACTGAAGTATCCGATATAATAATAATACAAATAAAGTCCTGCTAAAAAACAGGCTGCATAAAAATAAATTTTTAAAACAACTGAAAATGCAAAAACGCTCATGGTATCTGTTTAACGAATCAGCTGCGATATTATTCTCTATGTATTCATGAAACCTGAGTAGTTGATTACAGGGAATTTCTACTGCAATCAACTGGATCAAATGATGACGAGGATTGATATAGAAACAGCTGAGCTTATTCAACCGAGATTTGTAGAATCTGTTACAGGACAGCAATCCTTAAATGCTATTCAAACTACTGGAACTGCTTTAGATAATTCTATATCATTTCCCAGAGCTTCACTAACGGACTAGATTTCTTCTAAATATCGGACTTCTCGGAGGAAAAAGAACCCTTCGCTCAACAAGCTGTGACGTGAAAAATGTATTGTCGAGCTATCATTGCTACTGTCGTCAACAAATTTCACTTATCGTTGTCGATGGTGTGCCATTAGTGATGGTGACTGTGCACTTTTGTATTAAAAATATAAAATAAATGTGTTTCTTATAAATCAGACATTCTTTAACTAATAGCCATTCATGCCCAGAACGGTTCTGGTTAATGAATGGGTTGGTTTCATGCATAGTTTGAGCAAGGTGAAAAAAAAAACAGTTACCTTTAGAAAGTCTTCCACTATAGCATCTTCCTGAAGACTAACAAACCTTGAGTGCTTATGTATCGTAACCTAACCTAAATAGATAAAAATGACTAAAGTGATTTTAATTTCAGATATCAGTCTCACTTGTATTTATTTTGAACATTTGCAGAAACAATGCAATATAGGTTTGCATACATATTTGACTTCATGGATTAGCTTTCAAATTAGCTCCTTAGTTTCCAATTAATTAATTTATTTTAAAGTATCTGGTCTAGATTTATTCGCGTGTTGCTAGCTTTAGCTTAGATACAAATGCTTCTAGTAAACATCTGCAATGAAAGTAAATTTAAACTAATCTGACAGACACAGACAGGACGATAAGATATGACAAAAATATTTTTGTAACAAATAGACGGTTACACAGATTTAATTACAGAGGTGGGAAGTTGCCATAGATTGCGCAAAAATAAATATGCAACAGTCAAATATTTAAAATGTCAGGAAACATTTTGCTGATACTGTGAGATATATATCTACTCTCACATCTCCCACCATAAAGTAAGTTAAGTGAAACTCACCCACTGTTAGCTATTAACTTCATAATTAGATAAGTTATTCGTTAATCCTAATAAAAAACGCGACCAGCAGCCTAAAACCTTTAATTACACCGCAGAGCGATCAACTGTACTTTCTCACTCTCTTTGTTCTTTCCTTAATCTAATCCACATATTTTGAGAAAAACTCCGTTCCTTGAAGCTAGAAGTTTGCAAAAAAGCACATAATTAAAAACAGGGTAATAAATTAATTAGATTATTGTACCGCGCATGGCTTAATTAAAAACATTTCTGTTATAATTTTATCGTTCAATTTGAAAAATGTTATCGAATAATTGTTTTCTTCTCAAAATGCGTTTCTTCTTCTCTTTTATTAATTATTACTACAATGTGAAATTAGCATTTTTCTCCCGACGCATAACTAAATGCACATATGTATCGCAACCGATGGAGGGGTTTCCAGAACGGATCAGGGCTCGCCACCGGCCGAGCGGTAAAGTCACTGAACATTGATAGGTTCGAATCCCGCGAACGGGCTGGCTGCATGGGCGTTTCCGTGGTTTTCCCCATGATTAAAGTGTATACGAGCAAGTTTCCCGCAGAAAGTCCTTCATGAATGCATCTTTTTCTTCATGCAGATAACCCTGGAGGCTTTTCCTAATCGCAAAAACCCAACCAACCATCCTAGAATGAAACAGTGGGCTTTTATTACTCTTTTGCCTCCCCGTTACTCTAAAGATATTGTTTGTACTTCATTTTTCGCATCTATTTCCCAGTTATGCACATTAATTCAAACTTTTGCGCATAAATTTAGTTATAGTTCTTCCTTCAACCTGTGAAATCTTCTCAGTTTCTTATATTTGAATTAATTTCGCATCGTAATTTCACAAGAAATACCCGATATTTTAGTTTCTTTAAAGAGGAAGTGAGTAGGCACAACATTTTCAATCATATTATCTTAAGCGCAGTAAGATCACGTGACACATGAGCAAATCCCGTTGTCCATTGTAGAATTTCCTTCCTCAGTTGCTATACCTATGGGCACTTGAGAATTTTGCTACCCGGATTATACACATGTAACACATACCTCAAATTTCGTCTTCTTGCTGATTACTGATTTTTACTGATTACTGATTTTGAAAGCATCAGAGAACCTTTTGTTTGTCTTGGCTTGTGTCGAGGAGAAATCCAATGTCAAAGAAAATCCAGTTTTAATTATTTTTCATTAAACGCAGATTTGAAATTCGGCTTTCATTGAAAGCGTTTAATGTCCTTGAGAGCTACAGGTTCATGGATATTTGTTCAATAATCGTGACAAATGAGATGGATGAAATAGAAACACTAGTGCTCCTTAACACGCTAGAAATATCGTAAATCAACTGCTACCACTTACAGAATTAATTGTAAAACAGTAATTGCACAATTTTGGCCTGACTCAATCGAATCTCTGAATACTCTTTCTCTGATAGGATTCCCTATCACTTATGGAAGTTTCCAGAAAAATCTCTCCAAAGGATCTAAAAATGCATTTCTATCAAATTAGCAAAAATAGCCAAATATCGCCAACTTTGCGACAGTTGTCGCCAAAGCACATTTAGGAAAATTTATACTATATCTGGAATTCTAACTGAATGATTTTTCACAACTTAAAAGACGACTTGTTCAGAAGAAGTACAAAATTAGCAACGTCATGTCTGAAATCAGTGCTTGTAAACATAATATATGGCCACAAATTCGTTAAACAAAAACACACGCTAAGGTTTTTTACATGAAATGTCACAGATAAATATTAAAAACAACATATAAAATTAAAACATTGCTCGATAAAACAAAATATAATCAAATAATCCTTTCTTCATGTATATTGTAAACACAAACCAGTTTCGGAAACATTCTTCTGAAGACGAACAGTTTTATTGCAGGTATTTACGTATTATCTCATCCACTTTAGTAGAAGTCGCCAAATTTTCGGAATTCGCCGAACTCTGGCAAACGTGTGCATAATATTGCTTTAGGTAACCATATCCATTGTAAATTGTAAACCGAAAATTCATCGACTCACCTTTATTTCTGTAAAAAATAGCCGAACTCTGCTAAGGTGTTTGTGCTAATACGTAAGTACCCTATTGGGGTTTTCTTTTTTGTAACTGGATATCTATGCAACCAGAGGCAAATGCGCGTATTAAATAATCGTGAAAGATAATTCTCAACAGCAAGAAAAAGATATATTCAAGCTAATACCTAAGAAGGAATCGTTACATTTGTATACGTAATTTATATTATATAAATGTCTTTCAATTTAATTGCGTATAAAATGTAAAAGGACAGGACATATTCTTGCAACTAACTAGCCTTTATCCTTTTAGGGATCTCTAGTAGACAATGAGGGGCTTATAGCTATTCTTCAAGACACGAAATCTACCACTCATCATGTTTCAACCAAGCTCGGTACAGCTGCTATTACACAGGCAAAAATTAACGAAGCACGTGAAGAATTTCGATCAATTGCCGCGAGAGGTAGCATACTTTATTTCTTAATTGTCGAGATGAGTGTAATAAATGCCATGTACCAAACTTCTCTAAAGCAGTTTCTTGGTCTTTTCGACATATCTATAGCCAGGTAAATCTTTATGATTATTGGTGTAAACGCTTCACTGTCTGAAAAACTATTTATTTTAATGTACCATGCAATGTAATATACATATAACCATGCATTTATAATTCAGAAACGTGTTACCGTAAAGGGAATATATCTTTTCCACGGCCTTACCTATAGCCAGTTCTCAAAATATTGCTATTCTGAAAAGCATAAGTTATTTATTTTAGCTTTTAATTTTTAATCAGTCTGTTAGTAAATAACAAGCTAAGTGATGTAAAACAGTAAATGCATCTCTTTAATAATTTAAATCTTTAATTTATTTCTCTAATATTACTTTATGTAATTCAAAGTAATTAGATAGCCCGATAACCACTCATATTCGTGCTCTTGTTGCAGTGTAATAAGCAGATGGAATGTCGGCTCCACGTTCCTTTAAATATTAGCATGAATTCAAATATTCCGGTGTAAGATGGCTTTGCCTAATCCTAGTACTTAGTAATTAATGAGTCGTAACGAGAAGTGCACAAGATCGTGGTCAAACGTATACATCTTGCAATGGATCTTGCAATACTTTTTGCGCAATAGTACATTGCGCAAAAAGTAAATAAACAAATAAATAAAAAAACATTTTAAAAAATGTAAAAGGTTTTAGATTTTAAATTACGTCCCAAGGAGAGTTTTTTAACGTTTTGTGTTTATCTTTA